GTCTGCAACATGGGCTGTTAACTCTCTGGGAGCCAAAGCATCGCTTCCATCACAGGAGGTTCTACTGACAAGTCATCCAAAGATGAAGTTTTGAATTACAGATGATCTCACCCCTCCTCACCAGGAGCTTTCTTCAAATTTTTAAAAATATTCCATGCTCTCTGTCATATCTAGATCATGGCATGCCTAGAACTAGGATAGATAAACAGCTCCAGACAAAAAACAATGCAGAAGAAAGAAGTCAAAGCAAAGAACAGGTAATTTTCCTAGAAATCGGCAATACTGCAAACACACGGTATATGAACATTAAACTGTTGCATAAATAACTAAACTATATCAACATTTCATAATGCAGAACAATTAAACCTAAAGAAACCTGATAAGTTCTCCCCTCTCTTAGTGGACATTTTCCAAGGGTAACTTGAGAAGCCAAATCCCATTAAAACTGAAAAGCAGCAGGTTCTTACCTACTTTAAATGTGCAGATTTAAGAATCATACAGTGTATATATAAGCTACTGTGATTATGGGTAGCAAATTTCTGAGCCTCTTAGAAGTACAGTTCGTGATGTCTCTGACATAGAAACAAATATTTATAAAACTGGAAAATATTTCCAGTCAATCATGAGATCTTTGATAAATACAACAACTTCAGGCAATCACATTTTATGGTCCTGTCTTACAGCTATTTCAGAGTTTAGGAGAAAGTCTTGATCTCATTTTTCTCCAGAAGAGCAGGAAAATGTCATAAATCAGGAAAAGTACTATAGCAAGATGACACTCATTCATTATCTTTAAGTCTCCTGACAGCAAATATACCAGGGGGGGAAAAAGAGGGAAAGAAGAGCCTTTTACCATCTGTTAAAAGACTAAATTGAAAATTAATTTTCCTTTAGGAACTGGGAAACAGAAGCTTTAAGTGCAAAGTCTTGAAAAATGGGATTCTGTGCTCTAATGCTGACCAGCATGAGCTCTATCTGGTGGCAACACTCTGTAGTGCACAGGCTAAACAGACTATTTTTGTTCAGGGTGATGTTCATGTTCACAAAGATGAGAAACACCTCAGACTTCAACTGCATATTAAAGGACTGGGGGGGAAGGGATGTGGAATCGAAGGCATGAAACTACCATAAAATTTGATGCCAAAGCATTTCAACCATGTTCCTAGAATCACATTTCCCAAACACCAAAGGCTGGAGTAGCTGCTACTCAGGAGTAGTGAGGGTTTATTGCAACTTTACAGGTTCTGGTGAGGCAGAAATGGGAAGCAGTGCTTGAGGTTTCAGCTGAAAACAACTGGCAGTGACTCTGGGCTGCCAGCATCACTTTAAAGACCTGATAAGATTTAATCTTAAGGTAAGATGCAAACATAAATAAACTAGTGGCTCGCTTTTATTATCACGTCCTTATTTTCACTTTTAAATTTTTTTTAAAAGTGTCGAATCTCTGAACAGAAGATAACCCATTGAAAGAAATGGAAGGAGATTCTACTACATTACCGATTTCAGTAAAAAACAAACAAACAAACAAACAAACAAAAAACCAAACTAGAAATACTTTAAGCCCCTATTTAATGCTGGGAATACAAACTTTCCTCACACCTGCAAATTGGCATCACGACAGGTGAAAATACAGTGTATTGGCTAATACACTGAGATAATTTCTCACCAAGAAATTACTACATAACCTACTTTCCACATCATTTAGACATTATTATGACACAACTCCAGGCTCCAAGTTCAAGCTGTATCACCATATACTTCATAGAAGCATTTGTGTTACTTTGTTTTCTGCATTGCATTCCAACATATTCAAATTGTGCAATTTGTTTCACTGTAGCAATCAAAACCCAGAGCCGTCTCTTCATATGGAAATGCTTTGTACAACAGCAGCAGTTTAACCTAAAATATGTTCCAGCCCTCAAGAAAAGTGGACCTCACCTTTCTTAATTATTCCTTAAAAGAAATCTTTATTTATGTCACTTGGAAGTAGCGTCCACAGCCACATCTGTTTGCACTGAGACCTGTATCATTCCAGCCCAACAACTGGTACAGCTGAAAGGCCAAGTTTCCTGGAGTGCTGCAAGTGCAGATAAACATCTGAATGCAAGATTTTGCTTTTGGGAACGTGATTTATCTGGAGAAGCACAAGAAATCCTACAGCGCCCCGTAGAATTGAAGAAGCTGGAAAACAGTTACTCAGCCAGGAATTCAGCTCTACATCCAGGTGCTCCTTGGAATGTGACCAGATTTACTTGTTTATGGATAAAGTGAAAATATGCAGCTGCAACATGTGAGCAGTAAAGAAAAACCCTAAACAAAACAGTTTTATTGCAAGATTGTGACTGGCTCCTCTAAGACCAAGGCAGCCCCTTCAGATGTCATCCTGGACCTGCAAAACCACAGAGCGAGTCAAGGGACTCAGAAAACCCAGGAACAAAGCTTGTTTCATGGCTTTTTCAAAGAAGTCCTCACTCATGTCACCTGGGAATTCATTCTTGAGCCCAGTCCTAACCATGGAAGGTAATATTTATTGCACAAAGGAGGTTCCTTGCACATACTTCATAACCACTCCTGCCTCTTGCTCTGTCCTATACCACTAACTACGAGCAGATATTTGTACTGCTCAAACTCCTAGTGGAATATTTCTCTAAGAGAGGATTTACCACTTCTGACAGCAGCTCAAGCCCTCTCCTCTTAGCTCCTATTCTTGCAACTCAAGCCCCCTACTCTCACTTCCCGTTTCTGAACCGTCCCACAACCACCCTGGAATTCCATGAAGCATGATGCTGAGAGTGAACCCAATGCTGGATAACCACACATGACATCTACACTTTCATTTACATACCCCAGTTTTGGACTACAGAGCTCACTGTTAAAAATGTGCTTTTTATCATAAGAGATGGTTATTCCTCATTTCGAGGCCCAAATACACTTTCCAACGAAAATGGCATATTTGTTCTCTGGTCCTTCCAGTGTTCTCCAAAGTTCTAACACAAGATCATCAAGGGCTAATTGTCTGGAAATGTAATTGATGGAAATAACCAGTCATCCTGTAATCTGTTCTACATTAAATCTCCTCAGGGGGCTTGGAAGCAGAACACCAACATCTACACAGATCCCTCACATTTCTAGCTAGGAGCGAGCACTCAAGTTAGCAGCAGAACAAAAACAATTACGAAGAATATCCTGTATAGCCTCAGCCACATAAGATCTCAATCAAAACAACAGCAAAGAACATATTCAGAGTGCTGTGTTCCAAGGGATACATTTGCTGTTCTTATTCCATTGACTGCAGATGACCAATGTCAAAACAACAAACCAGAATTACTAGAAAAAGACAATTCATGAAAAGAGTCCTCTTGGACATTCCACTGTTTCTCGGTGAAAGCTGGCAGGCTGAGGAGTCATGACTGAGTATTTCTGTTTACATCGAAGGTAAAGTCCCTAAATAGCATAAAATAAGTTTGGAGTAATACTTATTCTTGCCACAGCTCAGGGAAAGCAGTAAGAATTGCAGCAATTTCAGGAATATGCCTCTTGGGAGAAGCACTCAAGGCTCTGCCACAGGTCTGTGGGTCTGGGTGGGTGTTTGTGATTGCTACTGGCAAACAGTACACTGCTGCTCCCAGTGACTTCAGCCCATCCTCACACAGCACCCTTTCCAGAAGGGAATGTTTCCTGCATTCTTTCAGTGACACTATCTTGAAAAAGGTAAAAGCAAACAGAAATTGTTTGGAGGCAAATCACAGCTAACAGCACCTCCAGCTTCAAAAGTGCAGAATCATAGTTATTACTGATGTCAAATGCAAACAGATTAATGTAGGCCAATGCTATTCTTCCTCCTAATAGAGTAATTGCTCAGAAAGAGAGCAAGAGGACGTCTGAAAGAAACACAGAGCACTTTTAACAAAGGAAAATGCTTTACCACAGAATGAACTTAACTTCTCTAAACACTGTGATGGATACTTTGTGCTCCAGCAAAATGGAGTAATATAAACCACCTTAAAAGCACTTCTGCTGAATACATATACATATATACACATGGTATTACAGAGAAAACCAATGAGCAATAGGCTTGGAAATCTCGATTTTCTGACAGAAGAAATAACTACATTGAAAGCAAATCATGAAAGGGTGGGATGAAGTTGATGAAGTAAAAAAAAAAACCAGGAAGAGGTTAGAAATTAGGGTATACACAGACTGAAGGCTGTTGTCAGGTTGCTTTGAGGGGGAAGCAAGGCACACGACATTCCTTAAAAACACAAGAGCCTTGTAGAGAAAAGGTACACAAAGCAGGAAACAGTTTCCAGAAACGTTCAATTTCGACGAGCACAAACTTTAACCACAGATTTTGCGCACGCTGCCGGCTACCCTGGTTTGGAATTTGATCAGAAAACTACATCTAGACACACATGTTACGCCGCATTTGCAACAAAGGCCATTTGTTGCTCACGCCATGCAAAAACACCTCACAGAAACTTCCCCCCGCACCCGCACACATGTGGCCCCGGCTCCTTTGTGTGCGCTCACCGCTGCGGGAGGATGCTCCCCGCGCTCCCACCTCTCCCGCTCCCCGTCTCTTTTCTTCCCTCCTGCATTCACATTTGTTACTCTGCTCTCCCCTCCTCGATTCACATTTGTTACTCTGATCTCCCTCCAGCTGCTCTCCCCCGGGTAGAGCCCAGCGTGCCCCTCGCAGGGCTCAGCTCCGCTCTCGCTCGTTAAACGGGAAGGCAGGAGCAGACCCGGGGATGCCGACGCGCTCCCTGGAGCTCCCTTCAGATCCCACATCAAAGGCGAGCCCGCCCGGGCAGCCTCGCAAGTGCCCACCCAAAGCAGCTCCGCGGGTCAGCGCCCCGCGCTGCGGGCACCGCGCTGAGTTGGGGCGCGCTCCCACCCAAACTTTCTTTGGGGCCGCAGGACCCGCCCGCAGGGACAAAGGCGGCGTGTCCCGGTGGTGCTGCCCCCTCCCCGAGCCCCCAGCCCCCCGGCACACTCACATGCCCCGCTGCAGCCGCGGCTCCGCGGCCGCGCTCGCCAGAGCCCAGCACAGGAACGGGCACAGGAGCGCCGGCCCCGCTCCCATCGCGCTGCCGGGGGGGAAAGGGAGGATGGAGCGGCCGCGGCAGCTCCAGCACCACCCGCAGCAGCAACAGCCCCGCCGCCCCCGGCCCCCAAATCATTTAAAGCGGCGGCGAGACGCGCCACTGATGGGGCGGCCCCGGCCCGCCCCCGCCCCGCCCCCGCCGGGGCTGTCCCGCGGCTCCCGCACCGCCCCGAGCTCCGAGAGCATGGGAGATGCTTCTGCTGTGCGCTGCCCGTGTCCTCACTGCCCCCCCTGGAATGTCCCCTCATCCCCCTGCTGTAAAGGGAGTTCCGTCCCGCTCCACATCCCTCCGGGCGCGGCGCAGGGGAGGGGTTGGTTTGCACTGAGTAGGACGCGAAGGGACGTGCAAACTCATGCTCGTGCCCGTCGCCGGTTCCCGGGGAGGAACATGGGAGGAAAGGGCGTGAAGCCGTGCCAGGGGAGGGTTAGGGTGGGTGTTAGGAAAAGGGTCTTCACCCCGAGGGTGGTCGGGCACTGGAACAGGCTCCCCAGGGCAGTGGTCCCGGCACCAAGCCTGGCAGAGCTCAGTAAGTGTTCAAACAATGCTCTCGGGCACATGGTGTGAATCTTGCTATAGTCCTGGTCATGGGTAGGAGTTGGGCTTCAATGATCTTTGTGTGTCCCTTCCAACTCAGGATATTCTATGTGAGAGCTGAACACCCCCAGCTCTGCCTTCAGCTCTGGTTCTGTTCCTCTGCCAGAGACATATCTTGGCTTCTCCTTTTTCCTCTGGTCCTTTGTTCTGTGCGTGATGCCCATTGCAATCACATCTGAGCACTTCAAAGAGGTAACCATGAAAATAAATGCATTTAACATCTTCAGGGAGGGATGAACTGCTACGGCTGAGAGTTAGTGACAGCAAGAACATAAAATCGGGGACTGAGGAGTGGGTTTAAAATCCCAGAGCTGCCTGCCATCCTCTAGACCATCCATCCTCTCATCTTTATGTTCTCTACAGACCTTTACTGCTGTCAGAAGGAAACTCTTTCCCCTTTACTGGTGAGAGACGGGAGACCAACTGACCTGGAAAGGGAACTGCACATAGTAGCAATAAAAAATGAGAAAAACACACCTTAAACATTTTATGATCTAATGTAGGTCTCAGGGTCCATTACACCACGGTTTTCCTCTCTCAAGAGACCTGTGACTAACCAGGCACTGGGCTGTGAACAAGCAGATGGGCCCTGAGCCAACCCATGCTAAAAACTGCGATTTCTTTCCACTCCAGTAGAATGGGCTTGGACTCAAGTTGCTCCAAGCCAGCTCCTGTACAGATTCGTGACAGAGAGAACTGGATGGATACACCAGCATCCTCACAGGTCAGGAGTCAGCCTCCATTTTACAGTGCATTAATTTATCTTCCTTTCAGTCCTGTAACAAGATCCACCGGCTGTTCCTTTCACACACACTTTACGAGCAGTTTCCTGTATGGTTTTTATTTTCCAAGGCCTTTGCTAAAGTAAGTAAACATTTACCATTCATAACAAGAAAACTGGGTTTATATTGTTCTTTGCTTTGAAGCTTGCATTGACATGATCCCTTGAGATTTTATCAACTGATTTCTTTTTCATGGCAAAGCAAAGACACAGCCCTTATCTGACCTTAGAGCAGATTAATTGTACCCTGAAATTTCCACTGAATGGCTGAGTCTTTCTTGTGTCTGGAGTAGTTCTAGCTCTGCAGGACCATGTGTTGAGCTAATCTCATTACCTCCTGCAGAGCACATAGTTTTCTAATCATTTTATTTCTTAAACCCCAGAAAATCTTTCTTCATAAAATAATAGACCTTCATTATGTCAAAGCTGAGTGTTCATTATGTCCTGTGATGTCATCCCAACCTGGCTTATATTCAGGATCACATCATGGCAAAATAGCAAAGGATCTTATTGCTCAGCTGTTTAGATTTTTTTTCCAGGAGAGGCAAATTAGCCTTGAAAAAATAATTTTTTCCATCTTTAAAGAACTCAAAAATAAACAGTTCAATGTTATTTTTCAAAGCTGTGTGTGATCATTACAAATTGTACACAACATTTATTACACTCAGTTGTTAAGGATAATGGAACAGCAACATGCAAATTGGGAGGTACTGAAATGCAGAGTGAAGGCCACTTAATAGATGAGACCTTTGCTGGGGGGCCACACAGCAAAATACAGCTGCAGCCAAATTCTGGAGATGGAGCTGTGTAAAATCTCCTGCAACCTGGGCAGAAAGCTTTGCAGGCCTGGCTTTAGCTGCTGTGACACTGGCATTGCCCTGAACTCCAGTGTAAACTCAGTCTGTGCAATGTGCCCTGCTTATTAATATTATCTAATGCTTTCTCCTCAGAATATGTTTTAATTGAGAATACTCTGCAAAGCTGTTGACTTAAATGGCATCATTCCCATGAGTGGAGTTGCAGCACTGGTGGAAGCAGTTTCAAAGCCTGCTGGGATGTTTGATCTGCTGTGCCCCAAGTCAGTTAAACCTTCAGACCCGACACAGAGGTAAAAGCTGACTCCTCTGTTCTAGTTCTTACTGTGGTGACAGTGGGCTGTGTCAGGACAAAAGGGCACTGGATACAGCACTAGTGACTTCTTTATACTCCACATCCCTGCCATGGCCAACTAGGCACGTGCCTACTGTCAGGAAATTAATTTGCTATAAATTGTCCATCTTTGATCTGGACACCTCCAAAGCATAACGGGGCCACCACTAAACCAGTCACTGAGCATGTTGACAAGAGTTCCCTTCCCTGTTGGGGAATCAAATTGCATCTTGCTCAGCTACACCAGCTTTTGAACTGAGCACCAATTCCCCTTGGTGGCTTTGTGCAGGTGAGTTATGATGGGGTCCAATTGCCTGGAATACAAGTGGTTAGGGAAAAAGCAGCTCACGCCCTCCATATATCACTGAAGGACTTTCTGCGGGATGGAAATTACATGATTCTCCTCTCTTGTTGATCAGAAAATTGTTCTGTCAGATTCCAGTGCAATCCAAATTCAGCACATTGTTTACAGCACTGTCCAGATCATGAATTCTGTAGGAGAGTTGGTATCTCTCATGACATTCCATCCTATCCTTTCCATTTTAAAGCGTATTCCCCTCTTCATTAGCATTTTAATTTTGATTTATAATTTTGTCTTCCTACAAAGATGCTGTGACAGTTGCTGTGTATCCCCAAGCATGAATGAGTGTTGCCCACAACTTTGAGTCAGTGACACAGCATCCTGTTGTATTTTCATTTTTCTGTCTAATTCTCAGTATCTCCATTTCCAGTCTTTTTAAATCGTAGCTAGTTACAGGATTTCACATTCCCTTCTGATATAAAGAAATTTTCGTGCAGAGATTGTAATTAGGAAGGCTGAGCTCTGTTCTGTTATTAGCAGGAATTGTGATTTTTGGAGTGGTGGGTTAATTGCTAATAACCATATGCAATGCTTCTGTCAAGATGTTTCCCATTACAGTAATTAACTTAGCAGCTGGGGTAACAGACATTTACCATTTGTCTTCACAGTATCCCTGATTTAGGATTGTTCCAAATCCCTGTTTGGATTCTGTTTGTTCAATTCCCAGGTGCAAGATGAAAAAGAGGGGATGCTGAGAAGTGGAGATCTGGAAGGAACAAGTTGCAGGGATAGTGCCTGTTTTGGATGCAAAGTGTCTATCTGTGTGTCCTCAGGAATTCTGAATTTTTCTTCGCTACTTTTAGTCTTGGACCATCATTTTCATCAGCACCTACTGAATGGAAAGTGTGGCAGAGCAGCCTAAAAGAGGATGTTTTCAAAAATGTATTGATTACTCTGATGCTCCAATTAATCTGATCATTATTAAGGATATAATAAATGAAAAGTGAAGAATTTATTATTGCCTATTCATATCCTTGACCTCAAAATCCCTATGGTATGTGAATTTTTTTTTCCTTCATGTTTTGTAGTCAACTATATAAATATAAACATTTTTTGATAATTACCTCCTTCCTATGTTGTCTCACTGGAGTTCCTTCCTTCACAGAGCTACGCCAGAATTACAGTAATATTTTTAAATATATGGCTAACCTGAAAATTAAGAAGAAAATAAAGCTGTGCTCCAAAGCCAGGCCACATGACAGAGCAATAGCAGTTTTGTTGATTTAATTCATCCACAGAATATATTGAAGGGATTCATTTTGCTTACGAGATAATTTCAAAGACTTTTAGGACCACGATGCCTGATTTATCCTGGGGTTTAAGTTCTGGCCAGAGCAAATTCTTTGCAATACTACATTAAAGAAGGTTTGTTAATACCCTTAAAGACGTAAAGTTGCATTCCAAGGGCACTGGGAGCTTTCTCTGTTGCAGGGAATTGGCCTTGCTCCATTGCAAGGAGTAGGGAACACTAATTTACAGCAAGTGAGGATTCAACCCGCGTTGTTAATCATAATTATAGGCTTATTTTGGGAGGTACATTTTCTAAAGCAGTTGGGGAAGACAAGAAAATTAAGTTAAAATTATTTTCTTCCACAGGAGGTAAAAGTAGTACATAAATAAATACTTGGTGTTGCAGTAGATCTTTAAAACATATAATAGGTTTCTGGCACTGCAGCGTCCCCCGATATTTTTTCCTCCAGCACATAATAGTAAGTTTCTGATAATAGTGCTCACAGACAGCTTTGATTATAACCACTTGTCAGGGAATGGATAACTAGGAAAATAACACCATTTAACTGTAAAAAATGCTGCCTGAAATACATTAACACAGTGATAATTTCTGCTAATAGCAGCTTCCGAACCCCATCTATTACCTTTGAATTGAAATTCCTGCTTCATTTCTATCTTTCTGAGCATTTCTGCCCTCTGACCCTCTCTTCCATTACTTGGGAGCCACAGAGCCATCCAGGGACACTCCCTGCCACCCAGAGCCAAGCCCCTGCATGGAGTGCAGTGACAAACTTGCTGTGTTTGAGCAAACTGGAGACTGGGATGCTGGTGGTGGGCCTTTTTTTGGAAGTGCCAGCACAGGGGGTGATGAGAGGCAGGGCATGTGTGTTCAATAGTTTTGCCTCCTGTGGAATTTTCTGT